ACCCAGTTTAACAGATCAAAAAATAGAATGCCTAAATAATCTCATCTTAAAAAAAAATAAATTGAACAAGCCCTTAATGAACTCCCTAAGGAAAAATCCCCAGGGAGAGGGTTCACAAGTGAATTCTACCAGATACTTAAAGAAAAATTAATTCAAATACTATATAAATCATTTGGAAAAATAGGTGAAGAAGAATTCCTACCAAACTCCTTTTATGACACAAATACAGATTTGATACTTAAACTAGGAAGAGTTAAAACAGAGAAAGAAAATTACAGACTAATTTTCTTAATGAATATTGATGCAAAATTTTTGAACAAAATACTAGCAAGGCAACTACAGCAATGTGTCACAAGTATTACATACTATGACCAGGTGAGATTTATAACAGGAATGCAGAGTTGGTTCAATATTAGGAAAACTATCAACATAATTGACCATATCAATAACAAAACCAACAGAAATCTTATTATTATATTAATAGATGCTAAAAAAAAGCTTTTGACAAAATACAGAACCCATTCTTATTAAAAACACTAGAGAACATAGGAATAAATGGAGTCATCCTTAAAATGATAAGCAATATCCATCTAAAACCATCAGCAAGCATTCTATGAAATGGAATAAGCTAGAAGCCTTGTTAATAAGATCAGAAGTGAAGCAAGGGTGTCTATTGTCACCACTTTTATTCAATATAGTACTAGAAATATTAGCTATACCAATAAGAGAAGAAAAAGAAACTGAAGGAATTAGAATAGGCAACAAGGAAACAAAACTATCCCTCTTTGCAGATGATATGATGATATACTTAGAGAACCCTAGAGAATCAACAAGAAAAATATTTGAAATAATTAACAACTTAGCAAAGTTGCAGGGTATAAAATAAACCCACATAAATCATCAGCATTTCTTTATATGACCAACAAAGCCCAGCAGGAAGAGATAGAAATAGAATTTCCATTTAAAATAACTGTAAACCATATGAAATACTTAGGAGTTTACCTACCAAGACAAACCTAGGAATTATATGAACCCAAGCACAAAACACTTTTCACACAAATAAAGTCAGATCTAAACAACTGAAAAATATCAATTGGTCACAAGTAGGCTGAGCCAATATAATAAAAATGATATTTCTGCCTAAATTAATTTATTCAGTGTCATACCAAACTATTATTTGATAGTATTTAATAATAAAGAGTATATTTAATAAACATTTGTTATAAATAAATATTTATTTACTTAAGGGATAGCATATTGTATTATATTTTTATATATCATATATCATTTAGGGGATATTATATTAAATATTTAATGATAAATAAATAAATAAAATCATTTGATAGAACTTGAAAAAATAACAACAAAATTCATCTGGAAGAACAAAAGGTCAAGAATATCAAGGGAATTAATAAAAAAAATATGAAGGAAGGTGGCATAGCAATACCAGATCTCAAACCATATTATAAAATGATAATCATCAAAACTACCTGGTACTGGCTAAGAAAGAAGAGTGGTGGATCAGTGGAATAGATTAGTTACACAAGACATAGTAGTCAATGGTTACAGTAATCCTTTGTTTGATAAAACCAAAAACCTCAGTCTTTCACGTAAGAACTCACCATTTGGCAAAAACTGCTGGAAAAGTGGAAAACAATAGGACACAAACTAGGTATAAACTAACATCTCACACTGTACCAAGATAAGGTAAAAAGGGGTGCATGATTTAGACATAAAGAGTGACACCATAAGCAAATTAGAAAAATAAGGAATAGTCTGCCTGTCAGATCTATGAGGAAGAGAAGAATTCATGACCAAACAAGAAAGAGAGCATAATATGAAATGTAAAATAGATAATTTTGATTACATGAAAATAAAAAGCTTTTGTATAAACAAAAACAAATCAACCAATACTAGAAGGAAAGCAGAAAGCAGGGAAACAATCTTACAGCAAGTATTATGGATAATGACCTCATTTCTCAAGTATATAGAAAACTGAGTAAAAATTTTAAGAATACAAGCCATTTCCCAATTGACAAATGGTCAAAGGATATGAACTGTTAGTTTTCAGATGAAGAAATCAAAGTTATCTGTAGGCATATGAAGAAATGTTCTAAATCACTTTTGATTAGAAAAATGCAAATTAAAACAACTCTCAGGTACCACCTCACACATATCAGATTGTCTAATAGGACAAAAAAAGGAAAATGATAAATGTTGAAGATGATGTGGGAAATTTGGGAAACAAAGGCACTATTGGTAGAGTTTTGAACTGATCCAACCATTCTGGAGAGCAAGTTGAACTATGTCTAAAGGCAACCAAACTGTGCATACCTTTTCATCCAGCAACACCACTACTAAGTCTGTATCCCAAAGAAATCATTAAAAAGGAGAAAGGGCCTACATGTGCAAAAATATTTATAGCAGATCATTCTGTACTGCAAAATACTGGAAACTGAGGAGAGGCCCATCAATTGAGGACTGGCTGAACCAGGTATATGAATGTAATAGAATACTATTGTGCAATAAGAAATGATGGACAGGAAGATTTCAGAAAAAAATCCTGGACAGACTTGAATGAACTGATGCAAAGTGAAATGAGCAAACCAGGAAAACATTGTACATAGTAACAGCAAAACTGTGTGATGATCAACTATGAATAACTTGACTCTCCTTAGCAATACAATGATCCAAGACAAGTACAAAGGACACATGAAGAAAAATGCTATCCATAATCAGATAAAGAACTAATAGATTTTGAATGCAAATTGAATAATATTTTTTCACTTTATTATTCTTCATTTTTTTCCCTTTTGATCTGTTTCTTATTTCACAACTGACTAATATGGAAATATGTTTTACATGATAATACATGCATAACCTATATCAAATTCCCTACCTTCTTTTGGAAGAGGGAATGGTAAAGAGGAAGGGACAAAAATTTGAAACTCAAAATCTTGTAAAAATGAATGATAAAAATTTTCTTGATGTGTAATTTAGAAAAAAATAAAATACTATTTAAATAAAAGAAAAAAGTAGGAGAACAACTTGAGAGGATTTATTATACTTGGCCCTAACCTCTGATGGTGCACCTCTATCATGTTTTTTATAATGGTAGCAACACAGAACTTCAGTATCTCTTCAGAATTCCAGCTATGAATGCCTCCCCTTCTGATTCCTTTTTCTCTAACCTTTCAGATATTTCTAGACCACATCCTATAGCACATAAAACTAATAAACTTTCTAATATCACCTTGAAATTCTTTACTCTAGGCATACCTCATTTTGTTGTACTTCACATTCTTACACTTTGCAAATACTTCCTTTTTTTTTAACTGAAGGTTTGTGGCAACTCTGCCTGCAGCAAGTCTGTTGGTGCCATTTTTCCAATAGTGTGTGCTCATATCTTGTCTCTGTGTCACATTTTGGTAATTCTTATAATATTTCAAACTTTTTCATTTTGTTGTTGTTCAGTCATTCAGTTGTGTCTGACTTTTTATGAGTCTGTACGGACTCATGGACTGTAGCACAACAGGCCCTTCTATCCTTCACCATCTCTTGAAGTATGTCCAAGCCCACTTTTGATGCTTCTATGATACTATCTATCCATCTCATCCTCTACCATTCCCTTTTCCTTTTGCCTTTAATCCTTCTCAACATCAGGGTCTTTTCCAATGAGTCCTGTCTTTTCCTTATGCGGCCAAAACATTTAAGCATCAGCTTTAGTATTTGATCTTCCAATGAGTAGTCTGAATTAATTTCTTTAAATATTGACTGAGTTGACCTCTTTGCTGTCCAAAGGACTCTCAAAATTCTTCAGCACCACAATTCAAAATAATCCATTTTGTGGCACTCAGCTTTACTTTTAGTCCAACTTTCATGGCCTTACATTGCTACTAGAAAAACCATACCTTTGACTATTTGGACTTTTGTATGTAGGCAAAATGATGTCTCTATTTTTTAGTATTTCATTATTATTATACCACTTATGGTGATGTGTGATCAGTGACTTTGATATTACTATTGTAATTATTTTGGGGTGCCACAAACTGCATTTATATAAGAGGGTGAATTTAAGTGATAAATGTTATATGTGTTATGATTGCTTCAAAAACCAGCTATTCCATCATCTTTCTCCTTCTCCTCTGGCCACAATATTGAAGGATATTATATAAACTTAGTTGATAAAGCAGTGGCAGAGTTTGAGAAGACTGACTCTAATTTTGAAAGTTCTAACGTGTGTAAAATGCTAACAAGCAGCATCACATGCTACAGAGAAGTCTTTCACAAAAGGAAGAGTTAATCAATGCGGCAAACTTAATTGTTGTCTTATTTTAAGAAATTGCCACAGATACCCCAACCTTCAGCAACTACCACACTGGTTAATCAACAGCCATTAACACCGAGGAAAGACCCTCCACCAGCAAAACGATTACAACTTGCTGAAGGCTGAGATAGTGGTTAGCAATTTTAGCAATAATGTGTTTTTAATTAAAGTATATACATTGTTTAATAGGCATAATATAATATCTACAGTATAGTAAAAACATAATTTTTATGCACTCTGAGAAACTAAAAAAAATTGTGTGACTTGCTTTATTGTGATATTCACTTTATTGCAGTGGTCTGGAACCAAAACTGCAATATCTCCAAGATATGATTGTACTTGAATTGACAAAGCATATACTTAATTGTATTTAATAAGCACAGTAAGTACAACAGTAGATATATTGAGCATAACCAACATTTGTCATGCACTCTTGTTGGCTATGTGTTGGTACCTTGTGGAGACAGTACTTTGTTCTAAACCTGATAAAGGCAGCTAAGATAGCTTATAGTAAAATTATAACTTTCAATAAGTTAAACAGCTTGGCTTCTCTGTGGGAGCTCCAAGCAAGTTTTATGCACAGTTATGTCTAGGCTGAAACCCAAGAGAATTTTACAATAGCTCTCATTCAGTATCATTGGGAATCCTTTGAATCATTTAGGTTCACACTTACATTGTGCTTTGTGAGGTTTGAAATATTTGTTGCTATTGCTTGTAGCCAATCAATGCAGTCTTCAGCAGAGAGACACTGAATTATTCCACTGCACACCCCATCCACAGCAATTACTTGAAAAGCATTCTGCCTGTAGATATATCATGAGAGATCAGATCAGAAAATAATCCTATTTATCTAAATACTCATCTCAAAGATAAGATAAGACTTGTTGAAAATATTTTCTTCCTACCAATGTGACGCATACATTCTGAATCTTATAAATGCCTAAGTTTGAAAATGGAACAGTAAAGGTGAATCTAGGCAACACACAATTTCAAGATAGTAAAAACTGTTCTTGAAGGAAAAAGAAATATTTGGCACCACTGGGGAGAGAAGGGTTAATTATTTTCATGGCAGAAGTCTCAAGAAATTTAGATAACTCTAATCAATGCAGAATTGGCCATGCAAATTTACACAGAGAGGATATGCCATTATTTTGTCTACTTTTCAAACCACTTGTTGTTTTGTAGTATCATCAGATACCCAGGGGAGTAGGTTACTGATATAATTATTATGGAGAGAGACTCAACTATACTAATCTAATAGAATCACAGAAGTACTAGATTTAGATCTGGAAAGTGTCCTTGGAGATCATCTCCTCCAACCTTCTCCTTTTACAGAGAAGGATGTAGTTCTTCTATTTACTACTTGACCTTGGATAAATTGCTTAACCTTTCTGGGCCTCAACTTGCCCAACTGTAAAAAGAAGGGGTTAGATAGGGTGACGTATTAGGTCCCTTCATGGTACAAAAATCTATATTCTAACCCCTATGCAAACTTTACCATTTTCAGTAATGACCAAAGTTTTCCTTAGAATGAAATGAGCAGTATCTAAGTACTCCTTATGGGCTTTCATTGATTATGTTTTTGTTTAAGAAAATGAAATGATCCTCTCCTAAATTGCTTATGAAAATGCTGTAGAATTCCAAGTTACTCCCCACAGCTTTAATTATTCCATTTTACATTGTGCTTTTGCATTGTTTGGACATAAGCTAGGCACAACAGAAGTGAAAGACACTGAAATGAATGGAAACCATCCAAGCCTTTCATGCCTCTCTGTTCCACTATGTGCATTTGCCACAGCATATTGGATTGCATAACAAACCACATTTAAGTTCCAAGCAATTAGAAAGCAATGGAAAACTTCTGCCGTTCAGTGTTCAAAATGCTATAAAAGTTGTACACATCTCTCAGTTTTCAGTAAACACCCTTTTTGGCTTCCATCCTGAAAAAGCTTTGGTGGCTGTAGATCCATGGATATTAGATATTATTTCATTTCCCAAAATAAACAAATAAAAAAAACCCACAAAGCATATGGTGGGTACAGAATGCTTCATTAGGCATTCTGCCACTCTCCTCCTCTTTGTGTTCAACTCATAGCTTATAACTTGGGCGCACAGTGATGCCGTTGGAATGTGAGACTACACAAATCCAAAGTCCATCTTATTTTTACATGAGTCCTAGTTCTAGTCTCCTGGATATACATTTTCTGATTTTGCTTTTATAAATCAGGGATATCCTACTCTACCTCAGTGGGAGGCAAACAAAAATTCTTTTTAATATAATGTTCTTTTGAGTATATGACAGGGCAAACATATGTGTCGTCAGAAGAGGCTCTGGGAAGCAATAACTTTACACAACTTTCTTGTCTTTAATAACAATGATCAACAGAGTGAGACATTTCAAAACAAACTTCAGAATTGAATTCATCAATTTATGGAAATATAGAACTAATGGATGCATGGTAATATGTACATTTCTCACCTCTCTGCTAAGAGCAGAGGTTCTTAACCTGGAGTTGATGAACTTAAAAAAAAAACAAACTAATAATTTACCAAAGAATTAGTTTTCCTTGTAATCCTACATTTTTTTATGCATTTAAAAATATTATTTTGAGAAAGGGTCCATAGGGATTACCAGATTTCCATAGAGGTTCATGAGATAAAAGGTTAAAAAATTCTGGCTTAGTAGAACTAGACATCATGTAATGTATAAGAAAGCACATTTTTACAAATATTAGCCTTTTATGAAAACAAATACATCTGTGCAAAATTATTGATATTATTAGGTAGTAATATCTGATTAAAATAATATTCATTTAGATCAACCTTTGGACTATTAAATTATATAATACACCTATATACTTATAAATACATATACATATGAGTTACTAGATATAAATAATTTCAAAGTAAATTTATAACTCTTAAGAAACCTATATTGGCCTCTGTATCATTTTTTCTCATTCTCTGAATCAACTTTTTGCACTTTGGGGTAAATCTTTTTGTATATGCTAAATGAATTATTTGAAATATTTCTTGTTTTAAGTGTGGTCTCTTGTCCATATGACTTTTTCATATGACTAGATGAGTTAAGAATCCAGAATTCTTTTACCACCTTTTCTACCACATAAGTAAGAAAGGTAGGTAAGTCATATAGCCTTCCTGTGTTTCAATTTCCTCAATTATAACAAAAGTATAATTGTCATTTCCCTCATCACTGCTGTCTCCTATGCTACACTCAAGATAGTTTTGACTGGGCTTGCAACTCTCCCATACTGTCGAGTATTATCTGGCTAATAATTTTCCAAGACTGGTGTTTACTCTTCACAGAAGATGTCCCAAAAGAAAAAAAAAATAGATGTTTGCATTTAATTTAAAAAAGACAGAATTATTGGACATGAAGTAAGCAGGAATAATTTACTTAGTTTCTTTATAGTTTATGGGACTCTTTCTGAAATCAATATCCTCCATTACCTATTTATTTAGTGAAAAGGGGCATTAAACTCTAACAAAGTTTTCTGTCCTCTTGAGAACACTCAAACTGTTTTATGATTCTTAGCTTAAAAAGAAATATATTTGCTAGAAAACAGCTACATAATTAAAGTGTTATGGAAAGGGTAATTTTGCCTTTGTATTTTTTATTTCCCATTTTTTAAAAAATATTGTTTTCAAATGTCTAGGGATTTCTGCTCATGCTTTTCAGCAAAAAGAATTACTCTTAAAGACTGTTGAATTTCACAACAAATTTCAATAATTGAACTCAAAATTGTAGTCTTATTTTCTAATAAATGGACTGGCCTACAGTTTGCAGGCTCTGCTCCCTCTTTGTGGTAGAGCCATACAATACTGATCTAGAAACACAATGTTGTTACTTAATAAGTTTAGCCCAACCTTTAGACACTAACTAAACATTATGGTTTTAGAATTGGTTATTAAATCATTATTGGCATAATTCAAATCAAAATGCACTCCATGAATTTTCAGAGTTCAGCTCTTCTTGGTTTGAGAGAGGAAAGGGGGGAAGGTCAAGATGGGAATCCATGGTACTCTGAAGGACTATCGAGGCTTGTATTTACCATTATTAAAATCCTTCAGTCACCTTTATCCAGCATTTATATGAATGAAGAGTTAGCTGTAGAAACAAAAGTCTCCATCTGTTTACCCAGACTTTTATAGATAAATACCTTTCTATGAGTAAAATTATAGTTAAAACTTCCTGAATTTAATTTAATCCTTGTGGAGGGAGATTTGTTCTTGAAAACATATGGAGCATATAAGTTGGTTATCAACATTCTGGTGCTATTTTCAGACTTAGATTTGCTTCTGTGTATGTTAATATAACATATGAGTCAGTATGATGTAGCAGCTCGATGTCTATCCTTAAAGTTAGAAAGACCTGGATTTAAGGTCCATCTTCTAACAACCTTAGTTGTGTGACCTTTGACAAGTCACTTAAACTTCCAGTGCCCCAGGCAACTCAGTAAGACTGGAGGGCAGAGCAGTTGCAAATAAGCATTTCTCAAGGAGGTTCTCTACACTGGAAATTGCCATATGCAGATGAAATAGCATGATTCTAATAAAAACAATGTGTCCTTACTGATATTTATATGAACTTAACTTCAAAAATATAGTAATAACAGTAAGTAATAGCTACTATTTACATAGCACTTACTATATGCCAGGCACTCTGCTAAGTGCTTTACAATAATCATCTCATCTGATCCACACAACAATCTTGGGAAGTCAGTGTTGTTATTATGTCCCTTTTACAGTTGAGGAAACTGAGGCAAATAGATGTTGAGTGATTTGTTCAAGGTCACACAAATAGTGAAGTGCTTGAAGCCAGATTTGAATTCAGGTGTTCCTGACCGCAGGTCCAGTATTTTATTCATTGTATCACTTAGCTGCCTCTAAACACAGTATAATATTTATTCATATATAATATAATGAAGTTTAAAAATAAGATTCTATCCAACTCTATAAAGTTTAATATTCACTACATTCAAATTATTTATTCAGATGGTAGAGGATTTGATACCTAAATTTGATTAATTTCCAGATAATTTTCATTGATGTTTGTAGAGTTAGTAATAGAAAGAGATGATATTTGCAGAACTAGACATGAAATTGGCATTAACTTCCCTAACTCTTGGGGCAACTACTTAGCACAGTAGATAAAGTTGTGGCCTATAATCAAAAAAGCTCATCTCCCTGAGTTCAAATCTAGACTTGATGAGGATGGGATCTGGGCCCCAGAAAGGAAAAACCCTGGACTTTCCCACATGGCATTCTCTGGCATTCACCTGAGGCTATAATCCTATCAACTGGCCTTTCATTGTGACTATACCCAATCTCCCAATTCTATTACCCTTTACCTGGCCTAGCCCTCCCTATGGCCCCCTGACATTTCCCACACTTAATCCTAGTTAGGTTCCATTGTCCAGGTCTCAGGAGTTCTGTTCACCTCAGCTTACTGGCAACTCCCATCCAGATCTCCTTAGGCCCCTCCTCCAGTCACCCCAAACTACTTGGCCACTCCTAGATCCCTCCCACAGTCTTTCTGTATATAAGGTCCATCTTGTCTCCATTAAGATGCTTAGATTCTTAAAATCTAGCCACTGGACAGATTCTTATAATCTAGTCAATAGCTTACTAATGTTCAGATTCCTTAAGAGTCTGCCCGATATGACAGATGTTCTAATAAACCTTGTCTTTGGCTGAAAGAAGGCTTGGGTCAAATTCTTTCAGGCAGGACCCATGTATCGTGATATTGGGGGCCCAGCACCCCTGAACCCCTGAACTACATCAAGTCAAAGCCAAGCAAATGTAGCCTGAAAGATTTATTGCAAACTTAAGTCCTTTTAAAAAGGTATTTGTTGTTTTAGTCCTGTCGAAGTTTTTGTGACCCCATTTGGGGTTTTCTTGACAAGGATACTGTAGTAGTTTTGTCATTTCCTTTTCACTTCATTTTACAGCTGAGTGACTTGCCCAGGATCACACAGCTATTAAGCCTCTGAAGCTGCATTTTAACTCAGGTCTTCCTGACTACAGGCTGGGTGTAGTCTGAGCCCCCTAGCTGCCCCTTAAGAAGGAATGCCCTCCCTCCAGAAAAACTCAGTAGTTCCAGAGAATCTCTAGTGAGTATGGTACAGTGTAAAGACATGTACTCAAATCTTGCCTCTGATATTTACTACCTATGTGACTTTGGTCAAGTCATTTAATCTCCCTAGGACTAAGTTTATTCATTAGTAGAATGAGTGGGTTGTACTAAATGGTCTTTATTTAAAAGCAAACAAACAACAATAACAATAACAAACTATGCTCTGGGATCTGTGCAGTTGTCAGCTCTTTCTCCATCTCTTTTGAGTTTAGGTTGTATTAAGGATTGATCATGATATTTAAGGCTGACTTTAAAAATGCTCAGAAATTTTTCAAAATAGTTTCCATATCCTATCATAATGATGAAGTTAGGTAAAATTTGCATGCACACATTCACTATACACACACACATACACACACACACAGAGACAACAAGTTTATAAGCATATTTTCTTGGCAATAGAAAATTAATATGGAGCCACTCACCTACACAAATCTGATCCAGGGAGGTACTGGGAGAAACGTGAATGAAGTAAGGGGATTAATCGAAGGTCACACCATCTCTTTTCCCATCTCAGACCTGGTGAGGTTGGCCATGAAGAGCATGATAATGTATCCTGAAAAGAATTCAGAAGCTCACAAACCTTTGTAAATGTGTATTAATGAACACATGTATTATTGTATACTTTTTGAAATTTTATGTCACAAACATCTCTCAACCTAAAGAAAAATGTTTCTCTAAAGGGTCAATATTTTTATCACATTCTGGTAGTAATGTAGCTATAGGTAGCAATTTGTTCCTCACCATTTTATGATAAGATGAAAAATGATTAGAGTAATTATATCAAATGATATTCAAACCTACATCAGGACAGTATCTGTGACATAAAAATAAGAATCAGTAATATATGACTAAAACTATGAGAAAATTCAATATTTCTATGAACCTCTCACAATGAATATTTTAATACTTAAGATTTTTTAAAACTAAATCTTAAATTCATTTCTTTATTATTGGTATTTATAAACAAGTCATACATATTCCCTATATTGAGGATCTGGAACTCAGGGTCCCTGACCTTGTTTTTAAACAATATTTTGATAAATATATTTCCACAGAAATAGTTTCCTTTATAATTATAAGTATTTAATTTTGTATTTTTTAAAAACATGCTGAAAAGAGTTCCATAGGTTTCATCAGATTACTAAATAGGCCCATGTCACATACAAAAAAAGAATCCCTGGTCTATATGATAGCTTTTTCATATAATTGAAAGCTATTATTAAGTCACTTCTTAGATTTTTGACCTCTAGATCTTAGTCCCATGATGATGAAGGGAGAAAAGATTATGAGAAAGTGAGGAGAAAAGAAGCCAGAACTAAAAAAGAGTAAACCAATGTAACAGAAAAAAAAGAATAAAGAAATAGGAAAGGAAGAATAAATGACAGAGAAAGGTAATTTAGATTTAAAATCAGGGTGACAGCATGGAAGAAGAATGGTGGGATTAAAATAAGTATGCAATATATACAATAATACAGCTAATATTAAATCCAGTAAAGCTAAAGTCTTATTTTGGTGTTTCTTGGGAGCAAATTCTGGGAAGTCCTATATTAAGCTAGAAAATATTTTCCTATGGCTCCGGTATGGATTGTATGTCTATATATAATTCTAACTGAACTTGTCATCTGTTTCATTGAGTAAAAGCTCCTTGAGAATAAGAATTTTTTTTTCATTCTTTGTGTCTGTTTTCCCATGGAAGCTAGGTAGCCCAGTGGAAAGAGTGCCTGGCCTGGTCTCAGGAAGACCCAAATTCAAATCCAGTCTCAGACACTTAGTAATTGTGTGACCCTTGGTAAGTCACTTAACCTGTTTGCCTCAGTTTCCTCATCCATAAAATGAGCTAGAGAAGGAAATGGCAAACCACTCCAATATATTTGCCAAGAAACCCCCAAATGGGTTCATGGAGAGTTAGACATGATTGAAAATAACTGAACAACAACAAAATCTGTATTCCAATACCTAGTACAATGCCTGCAACATAGTAGGCACTTGATCAATACTTCTTGATTAACTGATGATTTTTTTTTGACAACTCATGAAGACACTCTACAAAGGCCTTAGTCACTATCCAAGTAGAAAAAATGCCTATATGAAAAGGAATCACAGATCCCTGAAGCAATGAATTAGGGGAACCAAATCAGCCAAATAAATTTAAGATAAAATTCTAGTTCTTGAATATTTTCAGTGATGCCTAAATAATAGTTCTTAAAACAACCTTCAAAAATTTTTTAAACTTCTTTCTTGGATACCTGTGTACCAGGTACCCTTGTCATGGCAAAATAAAACTAATAATTGGTGGAAGATTTTTTTGGTTTGGTCCTTGTTTCTGGAACAGTTTTTTTTTTCTTTCTTTCATTTATATAGAGAACCCCTGTTCAGGAAGCTCCCATCTCCCAATGCAAACAGGAACCCATTTTACTATTTAAAATCTCAGAATGTAGTTGGGGGACACTGAGTACATAATGAGCTAGACCTAGAGTCAGGAAGACCTGCCTTCAAACTTGGCTTCAGATACTTAGCATCTGTGTGACTCTGGGCAACTCTCTTTATCTCAGTCAATTGTAAAATAGAGATAATAGCACCTCCCTCATAGGGTTGTTGTAAGGATAAAATGAAATGTTTGTAAAGCACTTAGTAGCACATAGTAAGCACCATAAAATGTTAGTTATCATCATCATCATCATTATTATTATTATTATTATTGTTATTATTATTAAATACTTTGTATAGCATGATGCAGTCACTATCCAGGACTTACATCCAGTTCATCCTGATTCCAAGACATTCCTTTGTTTCTCAAAAATATTGATATCTACATAGATATAAATATTGATATAGAATTTTAATTCATAAAGAACTATTTATTTATGTGATATATATATAAGAATTATATAATATATAATTACATAACTATATAATTGCCTTAGAGGTGAAGGTAATAATAGCAGCAGCCTATTCTGAAGACTTCTTCCCAGAGATGATAAGGAGACTGGACAACTCAGCATTAGAGTACAGGGGACCCCTCTTTAAGTACTGCAAACAGGACAGGGTGCTGTTTGGCAATACTATTGCACATACCCACTTCCAAGTAGCAATTCCAAGGTAGAGAAGAGCACTTGCTACAGCACAGGAGAAGGGGCTCTGAGGAGCAGTAGCATTTGCAGCTACAGTGGAAGAGGGTCTCTTCCTGTGTAAGACGCAGCAGGAGAGCAGTGACCACACCTCTGCCCAGAAGACACCACCTTGGAAACACTGAAAAATTCCAATTCTCCTGAACTAGCTTTGAAAACAGCAGTGTGAAAGCTTGGGACAGTGCTATTCCTCCATGATGGGAAAAGATCCCAATTTAAATACAAAGTTCAAAGTTAAGAAATAGGATGGAAAAATGAGCAAGCAATAAAAAAGATCATGAAAAACTAGATGACAAGGAAAATCAAGATACAAATTTATAAGGAGGCAATGCTACAAGCAAAGCCTCAAAAAAAGTGAATTGGACACAAGTACAGTAAAAATTCTGAATGAGCTAAGAAATAGTATTCAAAAAATCAAATATGAAGTGGTAGAGGAAAAATTAGGTAAGTAAATGAGATCAAGGCAAGAAAATTAGGAAAAAACAATTAACAGCTAGGAAAAAGAGGCACAGAAATACTTAAGAAAACACCTTTAAAAAATCAATCAAATGAAAAAAGAGATACAAAAGCTCACTGAAGGAAATAATATCTTAAAAATTGGAATTGAATAAGTGGACATTAATGACTCCATGAGGCATCAAGAAAAAAAAATTAAAGTCAAAAGAATGAAAAAAATAGAAGAAAATGTAAAATATTTCATCAGAAAAACAACTGATCTACAAAATGGATCTAGGAGAGATAATTTAAGAATCATTGTATAACTTGAAAGCTGTGATCAAAGAAAGAGCCTAGACATCATATTTCAAAAAAAAAAAATTAAAGAAAACTACCCAGATATCCCAGAACCAGAAAGTAAAATAGAAATTGAAAGAATCCACTAATCACCACCTGAAAGAGATACTGAAATGAAAACTCCTAGCAATACTGAAGAGGTGTAGAGATTTGGGGTGCTCCTAGATGCACAGTGGTACCCCAAGATCGTGGCTCCAGGTCTGCCTGAATGAATTTAACCCAAATCTTCTTCCAGCCAGAGAAATAGTTTATTAAAGATAAAGCATATAGGCCAGACTCCCAAGGAACCCAAACATCAATGGCGCCCATAAGGACTAGCGGGCATGAGAGTCTCAGCCTTTGGGCTTGAGAAATTCTCAGTATCAGAATGGGGGCAAAGGTGGCTCTTAAATTCAGAAAGACTGTGGGAGGGACCTAGTAGTGGCCAAGTAGTTTTGGGGTGAGGGGAGGAAGGGCCTATGAAGATCTGAATGGGAGTGGCTAGTAAGCTGGGGTGAATTGAACTCCTGGGACCTGGACTTCCTGGATCCTAGCTAGGATTGAGGGTGGGAAATGGCCAGGGGCCATAGGGAGGTAAAACAATGGAGGGGAGATTGGGTGTAGCCACAGTGAAAGGCCAGTTGAAGGGGGGAGGTGGTTGGGAAAGAGGGTCCAGGTGAGAATTCCTTTTGGAAGGTCTGAGGGATTTGAATAAACAATGAGAATAGATAATGAAGGGAACTAGAAGGGGGAAGTTTGCTTTCAAAGGGAGATAAAGAGAGCTTTCAAAGGGAAATAAAGGCAGTTTTCAAAACTTTAAGGTTTTTCTGGGAGGGGTAGACAAACTTCTTTTTAGAGCTAGGGGCCGAGGTGCATTTGAATAAGATTAAAAGATAAGGCTAAGGCTTTCAAAGAGAGATAAAGTGAGTCTACAAGGAATCTAAAAATTTTAAGGATTTTCTACAAATGGGAGCCAAATTCCTTTTGGTGAAAAGGGGTAAAGGGAAAAGTGACAAAGGTCTTGACTTCTGAAATTGAATGAAACCCTCTTCAATACTATAGTTAAATTTCAGAACTCCCAAGTCAAAGAGAAAATACTTTCAGTAACCATAAAGAAACTATTCAAATATAATGGAGCCACAGTCAGGATCACACAAGATTTAGCAGCTACTACCTGAAAGGACTAGAGAATTTGTAATATGATATTACAGAAGGCAAAAGAGCTAGGATTACAACCAAGAATAACCTACCCAGCAAAACTGAGTACAATCCTTCAAGGGGGAAGAAAGAGGGTATTTAATGAAATAGAGGACTTTCCAATATTGCTGATGAAAAGACAGAACTGAATAAAAATTTTGACTTTCAAATACAAGACTCAAGAGAATCATAAAGAGGGTAAACATGACACAGAAATTATAAACTATAAAAATATAAATTATAAAGGATTCAATCAGGTTAAATTGTTGATATTCTTATATGGGAAGATGATACATGTAACTTCTAATAAAATGATCATTATTAGCGCAGTTAGAAGGATTTTACATAAACAGAAGGTATGGGAGTATGTCAATTATTTTGGGAGAACATAAAAAACAATGGATGAGTGAGAATGAGGGATACCCTGAGAGAAGGAAGTGAGAAGAAGTATGGGAAA